TAATCACTAAGCAACGATAAACACGCGCATATAAAGACGCTAGAAGCGAAAATCGCACAGCATCTCATGACGTCACATGACTACACGAGAGTGAATTGTAGAATGAAGTAAGGAAATCCGTTGGTATAAACCAATGGCTTTCTGTTACCAATTATAGACATTTAAGAATATTTGTAGAGATGCCAAATTGATTTTGTTTAGGTTGGGTTTTAACTGTTTGATGTATAATGCTTCAAGTATTTTTAGTTTTTGTCTATTGTTTTCATGTCGAAGTATAGTTGTGTTTTCGACAAGTATTTTACGGAATTGTGTGCGGGCAGGCATGTTGTTTTAAATGCCTAAAAATGTTAGGAGTTTTCATTAAAATGTAGTGTCAAGCGTCGTGAAAGCGAGTTTGTGGTGTGACCAACATAAATATTATTTAATTCGTTGGAGATACACTCTCCCAAAGGGCACTTGAATTTATAAACTATGTTGGTTTTTTGCAAATCGCAACTGGGGGAAAGAATCATTGCAAGTATTAAGTTGGATATACTAGATTTAGTGTAGTATATGATTAATTTAATTTTTTGCTAGGATCTGTAGTTGATATATTAGAATTTACTAAATTTTTAGTATGTTTTCATCTTGTTTATAATTATTATGCATTTGATTACGATATAGGAGATTAATATATTTGAGATCAGTAGAAGCAGTATTATGTACAATTTGCTTATTATTGAGATTTCTAAGAAAGCATCTTATTTGTTCATCAACTATATAGTTTGGAAAGCTATTATTAATAAGTGTCTGTTTTATATTCTTTAGTTCACTGTAAAAATCTGTTTTGTGGATGAATTAGTTTCTGCACGATGTATTAGATTCTTTATAATTGCTACTTTGTAGTAATATGGGCATTCGCTCTTGTAGTTAAGTGTACATGAATTTATGCTTGTAGGTTTTTTGTATGGCGAAATAGTAAATTTGTTATTATTTGTGTTTATCAATATGTCAAGGAAAGGGATTTTATTATTAGTATTGAGAATATAAAAAAAAATATGCTGCCTAAATACACACAATTTATATATATATATATATGTGTGTGTGTGTGTGTGTGTGTGTGTGTGTGTGTGTGTGTGTAACGTAAGAAAATAAGCATAAATAAACAAATAAAAGATAAAATAATTATCAGAATAAGAAAAAAAAAAAAAAACGAAAATACGTGCTCACAGACTGACATACAATAAGATGCAATATTATTTTAACCAGATTTTAACATGTGTTAAATCTCAAAGTACGATCCTGGCAAATTATATACGTTAATAAAATATAGTCTAATATAATCTGGTAGTATTTTGGACAGGTTTGCCTAAAGTGGTAGATATCGACTCCTGGAGGAAGACGAGACTATGCAGGGGGGCTCGAAAAATACCTTGGCCTCAAAAGAGGGTCAATAAATAATTCATGCGGACTTACAACTAAATTTCGTCAAATATCAATGCCCTGGTAAATTACCCGTTGCAATAAAATATAGTCTAATCTAACCTAGTGTCATTTAGAACAGGGTTTCCCAAAGTGGTATATATCGAACCCCGGGGGTCGATAGAACTATGCAGGGGTCGATAAATGGCTGGGTTTCAAAAGAGTGTCGATAAGTAAATTGTGTTGATTTGTGATAAAATCTAACCAATTTTCAACAAAATATAAGTGGTCTTGCGTTCTTTTATGTGCCGGGGTTTTTAAAGCGTTGGTGATCATGAGTCTCCACAATTTCCTGTTTTTTTGTAATTTTAATAACTTTTGCCATATCTCCCAACCACTGCTCTGGCATCAATCTTGCCAAGTAGATTGTGCGTTGCTTTCATTTGATCCTCCTTTCCTTCAATCTGTTCTGTGAGTATCAGAAATGTCAACACTTTCTTCTGTCTCTAGTATCAATGTCCCGTCTTTGAAGCCCTCTTAAGTGCCTCAGAAATGTCAACACTTTCTTCTTTCTCTAATATCAGTGTTCCGTTTTTGAAGCCATCTTAAGTGCCTCAGAAATGTCAACACTTTCGTCTTTCTCTTATATCAGTGTCCCGTCTTTGATGCCCTCTTAAGTGCCTAAGAAATGTCAACTCTTTCTTCTTTCTCTAATATCAGTGTCCCGTCTTTGAAGCCCTCTTAAGTGCCTCAGAAATGTCAACTCGTTCTTCTTTCTCTAATATCAGTGTCCCGTCTTTGAAGCCCGCTTAAGTGCCTCTGAAATGTCAACACTTTCGTCTTTCTCTAATATATCAGTGTCCCGTCTTTGAAGCCCTCTTAATATCTGAAATGTCAACTCTTTCGTCTTTCTCTAATATCAGTGTCCCGTTTTGAAGCCCGAAATGTTATGCCTCAGAAATGTCAACTCTTTCGTCTTTCTCTAATATCAGTGTCCCGTCTTTAAAGCCCGCTTTATGCCTCAGAAATGTCAACTTTTCGTCTTTTCTCTAATATCAGTGTCCCAACTTTTGAAGCCGCCTTAAGTGCCTCAGAAATGTCAACTCTTTCGTCTTTCTCTAATATCAGTGTCCCGTCTTTGAAGCCCGCTTAAGTGCCTCAGAAATGTCAACTCTTTCGTCTTTCTCTAATATCAGTGTCCCGTCTTTGAAGCCCTCTTATGCAGAAATGTCAACTCTTTCGTCTTTCTCTAATATCAGTGTCCCGTCTTTGAAGCCCTCTTAAGTGCCTCCCCTGAAAATGTCAACTCTTTTCTTCTTTCTCTTATATCAGTGTCCCGTCTTTGAAGCCCTCTTATGCCTCAGAAATGTCAACTCTTTCGTATTTCTCTAATATCAGTGTCCCCTTTTGAAGCCGCCTTACAGTGCCTTTTCAGAAATGTCAACTCTTTCGTCTTTCTCTAATATCAGTGTCCCGTCTTTGAAGCCCTCTTATGCCCTCAGAAATGTCAACTCTTTCGTCTTTCTCTAATATCAGTGTCCCGCCTTTGAAGCCATCTTAAGTGCCTCAGAAATGTCAACTCTTTTCGTCTTTCTCTTATCAGTGTCCTGTCTTTTGAAGCCCTCTTAAGCCCATAAGCCTCTGAAATGTCAACTCTTTCGTCTTTCTCTTATATCAGTGTCCCGCCTTTGAAGCCCGCTTATGTACCTCAGAAATGTCAACTCTTTCGTATTTCTCTAATATCAGTGTCACGTCTTTGAAGCCATCTTAAGTGCTTCTGAAATATCAACTCTTTCGTCTTTCTCTAATATCAGTGTCCCGTCTTTGAAGCCCTCTTAAGTGCCTCTGAAATGTCAACTCTTTCTTCTTTCTCTTATATCAGTGTCCCGTCGTTGAAGCCCTCTTAAGTGCCTCAGAAATGTCAACTCTTTCGTCTTTCTCTAATATCAGTGTCCCGTCTTTGAAGCCATCTTATGCCTCCTCAAATATAAGTCTTTCGTCTTTCTCTTACATCAGTGTCCTGTCTTTGAAGCCCGCTTAGTGCCTCTGAAATGTCAACTTTTCGTCTTTCCCTTATATCAGTGTCTCGCCTTTGAAGTCGCTTATGCCTCTGAAATGTCAACTTTTTCGTCTTTTCTTATATCAGTGTCCCGTTTTTGAAGCCCTCTTAAGTGCCTTTGAAATGTCAACTCTTTCGTATTTCTCTAATATCAGTGTCCCGTCTTTGAAGCCATCTTAAGTGCCTCAGAAATATCAACTCTTTTCGTTCTCTTACATCAGTGTCCCGTCTTTGAAGCCCGCTTATGCCTCTGAAATGTCAAATCTTTAGTCTTTGAATCAGTGTCCCGCCTTTGATCCGCTTATGCCTCTGAAATGTCAACTCTTTCGTATTTCTCTATATCAGTGTCGCGCCTTTGAAGCCCCCTTATGCCTCAGAAATGTCAACTCTTTCGTCTTTCTCTTATATCAGTGTCCTGTCTTTGAAGCACTCTTAAGTGCCTTCAGAAATGTCAACTCTTTCGTATTTCTCTAATATCAGTGTCCCGCCTTTGAAGCCCTCTTATGCCTCAGAAATGTCAACTCTTTCGTATTTCTCTTATATCAGTGTCCCGTCTTTGAAGCCCGCTTATGCCTCTGAAATGTCAACTCTTTCGTCTTTCTCTAATATCAGTGTCCCGTCTTTGAAGCCCTCTTATGCCTCAGAAATGTCAACTCTTTCGTCTTTCTCTAATATCAGTGTCCTGTCTTTGAAGCCATCTTAATTACTATCCTCTGAAATGTCAACTCTTTTGTCTTTCTCTAATATCAGTGTCCCGTCTTTTTTGAAGCCCTCTTATGCCTCAGAAATGTCAACTCTTTCGTCTTTCTCTTATATCAGTGTCCCGTCTTTGAAGCCCGCATATGCCTCTGAAATGTCAACTCGTTTCTTTCTCTTATATCAGTGTCCCGTCTTTGAAGCCCTCTATCAGAAATGTCAACTTTTCGTCTTTGATCAGTGTCCCGCCTTTGAAGCCCCTTGTGCCCAGAAATGTCAACTCTTTCGTCTTTCTCTAATATCAGTGTCCCGTCTTTGAAGCCCTCTTAAGTGCCTCAGAAATGTCAACTCTTTCGTATTTCTCTAATATCAGTGTCGCGCCTTTGAAGCCGCCTTAAGTGCCTCAGAAATGTCAACTCTTTCGTATTTCTCTAATATCAGTGTCCCGTCTTTGAAGCCCTCTTAAGTGCCTCTGAAATGTCAACTCTTTCGTCTTTCTCTTATATCAGTGTCCCGCCTTTGAAGCCCGCTTATGTACCTCAGAAATGTCAACTCTTTCGTATTTCTCTAATATGAGTGTCACGTCTTTAGAGTCATCTTAAGCTTCTGAAATATCAACTTTTGTCTTAATATCAGTGTCCCGTCTTTTGAAGCCCTCTTAAGTGCCTCAGAAATGTCAACTCTTTCGTCTTTCTCTAATATCAGTGTCGCGTCTTTGAAGCCCTTAAGCCTATGCCTCTTGTCAACTCGTTCTTTCTTTCTCTTATATCAGTGTCCCGTCGTTGAAGCCCTCTTAGAAATGTGCCTCAGAAATGTCAACTCTTTCGTCTTTTCTCTAATATCAGTGTCCCGTCTTTGAAGCCCCCTTATGCCTCAGAAATGTAACTCTTTTCGTCTTTCTCTAATATCAGTGTCCCGTCTTTGAAGCCGCTTATGCTCTGAATGTCAACCGTCTTTCTTTATATCAGTGTCAACCTTTGAAAGCTTTCTTATGCCTCTGAAATGTCAACTCTTTCGTGTTTCCCAGTGTCCTGTCTTTTGAAGCCCGCTTAAGTGCCACAGAAATGTCAACTCTTTTCGTATTTCTCAATATCAGTGTCCCGTCTTTGAAGCTCATCTTATGCCTCAGAAATATCAACTCTTTCGTCGTTCTCTTATCAGTGTCCTGCCTTTGAAGCCCCCCTTATGTGCCTCTGAAATGTCAAATCTTTCGTCTTTCTCTTATATCAGTGTCCCGCCTTTGAAGCCCGCTTAAGTGCCTCAGAAATGTCAATCTTTCGTCTTACTCTTATATCAGTGTCCTGTTTTGAAGCCCTCTTAAGTGCCTCTGAAATGTCAATACCCGTATTTCTTAATATCAGTGTCGCGCCCCTTAGCCTCAAAATGTCAACTCTTTCGTCTTTCTCTAACAGTGTCCCTGTCTTGAAGCCTCTTAAGTGCTTAGAAATGTCAACTCTTTCGTATTTCTCTATTATCAGTGTCCTGCCTTTGAAGCCATCTTGTTTGAAATGTCAACTCTTTCGTATTTCTCTAATATCAGTGTCCTGTCTTTGAAGCCCGTCCTCAGAAATGTCAACACTTTCGTCTTTTCTAATATCAGTGTCCCGCATTTGAAGCCCTCTTAAGTGCCTCAGAAATGTCAACTCTTTCGTCTTTCTCTAATATTAGTGTCCCGTCGTTGAAGCCCTCTTAATTACCTCTGAAATTTCAACTCTTTCGTCTTTCTCTAATATCAGTGTCCCGTCTTTGAAGCCCGCTTAAGTGCCTCAGAAATGTCAACACTTTCGTCTTTCTCTAATATCAGTGTCCTGTCTTTGAAGCCCGCTTATGCCTCAGAAATGTCAAATCTTTCGTCTTTTCTATATCAGTGTCCCTCTTTGAAGCCCTTTAAGTGCCTCTCAAATGTCAACTCTTTCGTCTTTCTCTTATATCAGTGTCCTGTCTTTGAAGCCCTCTTATGCCTCTGAAATGTCAACTCTTTCTTTTTCTCTTATATCAGTGTCCCGTCTTTGAAGCCCTATGCCCCCCCGAATTTCAACTCTTTCGTATTTCTCTAATATCAGTGTCGCGCTTTTGAAGCCGCCTTAAGGGCCCCAGAAATGTCAACTCTTTCGTCTTTCTCTTAATATCAGTGTCCCGTCTTTGAAGCCCTCTTAAGTGCCTCCTCTAGAAATGTCAACTCTTTCGTATTTCTCTCATATCAGTGTCCCGCCTTTGAAGCCATTATATCAGAAATGTCAACCTTTGTTTTCTCTAATATCAGTGTCCCGTCTTTGAAGCCCTCTTATGCCTCTGAAATGTCAACTCTTTCGTCTTTTCTTATATCAGTGTCCCGCCTTTGAAGCCCGCTTATGTACCTCAGAAATGTCAACTCTTTCGTATTTCTCTAATATGAGTGTCCTCTTTGAAGCCATCTTATGCTTCATATATCAACTCTTTCGTCTTTTCTCTATAGCAGTGTCCCGTCTTTGAAGCCCTCTTAAGTGCCTCAGAAATGTCAACTCTTTCGTCTTTCTCTAATATCAGTGTCCCGTCTTTGAAGCCCTCTTAAGTGCCTCTGAAATGTCAACTCTTTCTTCTTTCTCTTATATCAGTGTCCCGCTTTTGAAGCCTCTTAAGCCTCAGAAATGTCAACTCTTTCGTCTTTTCTAATATAAGTGTCCCGTCTTTGAAGCCATCTTAAGTGCCTCAGAAATATCAACTCTTTCGTCTTTCTCTTACATCAGTGTCCCGTCTTTGAAGCCCGCTTAAGTGCCTCTGAAATGTCAACTCTTTCGTCTTTCTCTTATATCAGTGTCTCGCCTTTGAAGCCCGCTTAAGTGCCTCTGAAATGTCAACTCTTTCGTCTTTCTCTTATATCAGTGTCCCGTCTTTGAAGCCCTCTTAAGTGCCACAGAAATGTCAACTCTTTCGTATTTCTCTAATATCAGTGTCCCGTCTTTGAAGCCATCTTAAGTGCCTCAGAAATATCAACTCTTTCGTCGTTCTCTTACATCAGTGTCCCGCCTTTGAAGCCCGCTTAAGTGCCTCTGAAATGTCAAATCTTTCGTCTTTCTCTTATATCAGTGTCCCGCCTTTGAAGCCCGCTTAAGTGCCTTTGAAATGTCAACTCTTTCGTCTTACTCTTATATCAGTGTCCCGTCTTTGAAGCCCTCTTAAGTGCCTCTGAAATGTCAACTCTTTTGTATTTCTCTAATATCAGTGTCGCGCCTTTGAAGCCCCCTTAAGTCCCTCAGAAATGTCAACTCTTTTGTCTTTCTCTAATATCAATGTCTCGTCGTTGAAGCACTCTTAAGTGCCTCAGAAATGTCAACTCTTTCGTATTTCTCTAATATCAGTGTCCCGACTTTGAAGCCCGCTTAAGTGCCTCAGAAATGTCAACTCTTTCGTATTTCTCTAATATCAGTGTCCTGTCTTTGAAGCCCTCTTAAGTGCCTCAAAAATATCAACTCTTTCGTCTTTCTCTTATATCAGTGTCCCGCCTTTGAAGCCCGCTTATGTACCTCAGAAATGTCAACTCTTTCGTTTTCTAATATGAGTGTCACGTCTTTGAAGCCATCTTATGCTTCTGAAATATCAACTCTTTCGTCTTTCTCTAATATCAGTGTCCCGTCTTTGAAGCCCCTTATGCCTCTGAAATGTCAACTCTTTCGTATTTCTCTTATATCAGTGTCAGTGTCTTAAATGCCTCAGAAATGTCAACTGTTTCGTATTTCTCTAATAACAGTGTCCCGTCTTTGAAGCCCTCTTATGCCTCAGAAATGTCAACTCTTTCGTATTTCTCTAATATCAGTGTCCCGTCTTTGAAGCCCTCTTAAATTCTGAAAATGTCAACTCTTTCGTCTTTCTCTTATCAGTGTCCCGTCTTTGAAGCCCTCTTAAGATGCCTCTGAAATGTCAAATCTTTCGTCTTTCTCTTATATCAGTGTCCCGCCTTTGAAGCCCGCTTAAGTGCCTTTGAAATGTCAACTCTTTCGTCTTACTCTTATATCAGTGTCCCGTCTTTGAAGCCCTCTTAAGTGCCTCTGAAATGTCAACACTTTCGTCTTTCTCTAATATCAATGTCCCGTCGTTGAAGCACTCTTAAGTGCCTCAGAAATGTCAACTCTTTCGTATTTCTCTAATATCAGTGTCCCGCCTTTGAAGCCCGCTTAAGTGCCTCAGAAATGTCAACTCTTTCGTATTTCTCTAATATCAGTGTCCCGTCTTTGAAGTCCGCTTAAGTGCCTCTGAAATGTCAACACTTTCGTCTTTCTCTAATATCAGTGTCCCGCATTTGAAGCCCTCTTAAGTGCCTCAGAAATGTCAACTCTTTCGTCTTTCTCTAATATTAGTGTCCCGTCGTTGAAGCCCTCTTAATTACCTCTGAAATTTCAACTCTTTCGTCTTTCTCTAATATCAGTGTCCCGTCTTTTGAAGCCCCTTAAGTGCCTCAGAAATGTCAACTCTTTCGTCTTTCTCTTATATCAGTGTCCAGCCTTTGAAGCCCGCTTAAGTGCCTCTGAAATGTCAACTTTTTCGTCTTTCTCTTTATATCAGTGTCCCGTCTTTGAAGCCCTCTTAAGTGCCTCAGAAATGTCAACTTTTTCGTCTTTCTCTTAATATCAGTGTCCGTCTTTGAAGCCCCCTTATGCCTCTGAAATGTCAACTCTTTCTTCTTTCTCTAATATCAGTGTCCCGTCTTTGAAACCCTCTTAAGCGCCTCAAATGTCAACTCTTTCGTCTTTCTTTACATCAGTGTCCCGTCTTTGAAGCCCTCTTAAGTGCCTCAGAAATGTCAACTCTTTCGTCTTTCTCTATATCAGTGTCCAGCCTTTGAAGCCCGCATAAGTGCCTCAGAAATGTCAACTCGTATTTCTCTAATATCAGTGTCATGCCTTGAAGCCATTTAAGTGCCCCAGAAATGTCAACTTTCGTCTTTCTCTAATATCAATGTCCCGTCTTTGAAGCCCTCTTAAGTGCCTCAAATGTCAACTCTTTTTCGTCTTTCTCTAATATCGCGCCTTTGAAGCCCTTATGTGCCTCAGAAATGTCAACTCTTTCGTATTTCTCTAATATCAGTGTCCCGTCTTTGAAGCCCCTTTAGGTGCCTCAGAAATATCAACTCTTTCTGTTTTTCTCATATCAGTGTCCCGTCTTTGAAGCCCCTTATGCCTCAGAAATGTCAACTCTTTCGTATTTCTCATATATGAGTGTATATCAGAAATGTCCCGTCTTTCTCGTGTCCTGAAGCCCCCGTTAAGTGCTTTAGAAATGTCAACTCTTTTCGTATTTCTCTAATATCAGTGTCCTGTCCTTTGAAGCCCTCTTAATTACCTCTGAAATGTAAACTCTTTCGTCTTTCTCTAATATCAGTGTCCCGTCTTTGAAGCCCGCTTAAGTGCCTCTAGAAATGTCAACTCTTTCGTCTTTTCTAATATCAGTGTCCCGTCTTTGAAGCCCCCTTATGCCTCAGAAATGTCAACTCTTTCGTCTTTCCTCTAATATCAGTGTCCCGTCTTTGAAGCCATCTTAAGTGCCTCTGAAATGTCAACTCTTTTCTTTTTCTAATATCAGTGTCCCGTCTTTGAAGCCCTCTTAAGTGCCTCAGAAATGTTAACTCTTTCGTCTTTCTCTAATATCAGTGTCCCGTTTTGAAGCCCCCTTCTGTGCCTCAGAAATGTCAACTCTTTCTTCTTCCTCTTATCAGTGTCCCGTCGTTGAAGCCGTCAATTGCCCCCCCTCAATGTCAACTCTTTGTATTTCTCTAATATCAGTGTCGCGCCTTTGAAGCCCCTTAAGTGCCTCAGAAATGTCAACTCTTTCGTCTTTCTCTAATATCAATGTCCCGTCGTTGAAGCACCTTAAGATCCTCAGAAATGTCAACCTTTCGTATTTTTCTAATATCAGTGTCCCGACTTTGAAGCCCGCTTAAGTGCCTCAGAAATGTCAACTCTTTCGTCTTTCTCTAATATCAGTGTCCCGTCTTTTGAAGCCCTCTATGCCTCAAAATATCAACTCTTTCGTCTTTCTCTTATATCAGTGTCCCGCCTTTGAAGCCCGCTTATGTACCTCTGAAATGTCAACTCTTTCGTATTTCTCTAATATGAGTGTCACGTTTTAGCCATCTGTGCCCTGTTTGAAATATCAACTCTTTCGTCTCTCTCTAATATCAGTGTCCCGTCTTGAAGCCCTCTATGCCTCAGAAATGTCAACTCTTTCGTATTTCTCTTATATCAGTGTCCCGTCTTTGAAGCCCTCTTAAGTGCCTCAGAAATGTCAACTGTTTTCGTATTTTCTCTAATAACAGTGTCCCGTCTTTGAAGCCCGCTTAATTGCCCTAGAAATGTCAACTTTTCGTATTTCTCTAATATTAGTGTCCCGTCTTTGAAGCCCTCTTAATTACCTCTGAAATGTCAACTCTTTCGTCTTTCTCTTATATCAGTGTCTCGCCTTTGAAGCCCGCTTAAGTGCCTCTGAAATGTCAAATCTTTCGTCTTTCTCTTATATCAGTGTCCCGCCTTTGAAGCCCCTTAAGTGCCTTTTGAAATGTCAACTTTTCGTCTTACAATATCAGTGTCCCGTCTTTGAAGCCATCTTATGCCTCTGAAATGTCAACACTTTCGTATTTCTCTAATATCAGTGTCCCGTCGTTGAAGCCCTCTTAAATGCCTCAGAAATGTCAACTCTTTTCGTATTTCTAATATCAGTGTCCCGCCTTTGAAGCCCGCTTATGCCTCAGAAATGTCAACTCTTCGTATTTCTAATATCAGTGTCCCGCCTTTGAAGTCCGCTTATGTGCCTCTGAAATGTCAACTCTTTCGTTTTTCTCTAATATCAGTGTCCCGCATTTGAAGCCCACTATGCCTCAGAAATGTCAACTCTTTTCGTCTTTCTCTAATATTAGTGTCCCGTCGTTGAAGCCCTCTTAATTACCTCTGAAATTTCAACTTTTCGTCTTTTCTAATATCAGTGTCCCGTCTTTGAAGCCCTCTTAAGTGCCTCTGAAATGTCAACACTTTCTTCTTTCTCTAATATCAGTGTCCCGTCTTTGAAGCCCGCTTAAGTGCCTCAGAAATGTCAACTCTTTCGTCTTTCTCTAATATCAGTGTCCCGTCTTTGAAGCCCGCTTATCCTCAGAAATGTCAACTCCTTTCTCTTATATCAATGTCCTGTCTTTGAAGCCATTTGCCTCTTGAAATCTTTTTCTTTTCTTCTTATATCAGTGTCCAACCTTTGAAGCCCTTTATGCCTCAGAAATGTCAACTCTTTCGTATTTCTCTAATATCAGTGTCCGCGCCTTTGAAGCCCCTTAAATGCCTCAGAAATGTCAACTCTTTCGTCTTTCTCTAATCAATGTCCCGTCTTGAAGCACTCTGGCCTCCAGAAATGTCAACTCTTTCGTATTTCTCTAATATCAGTGTCGCGCCTTTGAAGCCCGCTTAAGTGCCTCAGAAATGTCAACTCTTTCGTATTTCTAATATCAGTGTCCCGTCTTGAAGCCCTCTAAGTGCCTCTGAAATGTCAACTCTTTCGTCTTTCTCTTATGTCAGTGTCCCGCCTTTTGAAGCCCCCGCTTAACCTCAGAAATCAACTCTTTCGTCCTCTAATATGAGTGTCACGTCTTTGAAGCCATCTTAAGTGCTTCTGAAATATCAACTCTTTCGTCTCTCTCTAATATCAGTGTCCCGTCTTTGAAGCCCTCTTAAGTGCCTCAGAAATGTCAACTCTTTCGTATTTCTCTTATATCAGTGTCTCGTCTTTGAAGCCCTCTTAAGTGCCTCAGAAATGTCAACTCTTTCGTATTTCTCTAATAACAGTGTCCCGTCTTTGAAGCCCTCTTAAGTGCCTTAGAAATGTCAACTCTTTCGTATTTCTCTAATATTAGTGTCCCGTCTTTGAAGCCCTCTTAATTACCTCTGAAATGTCAACTCTTTCGTCTTTCTCTAATATCAGTGTCCCGTCTTTGAAGCCCGCTTAAGTGCCTCAGAAATGTCAACTCTTTCGTCTTTCTCTAATATCAGTGTCCCGTCTTTGAAGCCCGCTTAAGTGCCTCAGAAATGTCAACTCTTTCGTCTTTCTCTAATATCAGTGTCCCGTCTTTGAAGCCATCTTATGTGCCTCAGAAATTCTGAAAATATCAACTCTTTCGTCTTTCTTTAACTCTTATATCAGTGTCCCGTCTTTGAAGCCTCTTATGCCTCAGAAATGTTAACTCTTTGTCTTTCTCTAATATCAGTGTCCCGTTTTTGAAGCCCCTTAAGCGCCTCAAAATGTCAACTCTTTCGTCTTCCTCTTATATCAGTGTCCCGTCGTTGAAGCCCTTAAGTGCCTCGAAATGTCAACGCTTTCGTCTTTCTCTTATATCAGTGTCCCGTCTTTTGAAGCCATCTTATGCCTCAGAAATATCAACTCTTTCGTCTTTCTCTTACATCAGTGTCCCGCCTTTTGAAGCCCGCTTAAGTGACTCTGAAATGTCAACTCTTTCGTATTTCTCTTATATCAGTGTCCCGTCTTTGAAGCCCTCTTAAGTTTCAGAAATGTCAACTCTTTCTTCTTTCCCTAATATCAGTGTCCCGTCTTTGAAGCCCGCTTAAGTGCCTCAGAAATGTCAACTCTTTCGTCTTTCTCTTATATCAGTGTCCCGTCTTTGAAGCCCGCTTAAGTGCCTCAGAAATCTCAAGTGTCTTTCTCTTATATCAGTGTCCCACCCTTTGAAGCCCGCTTAAGTGCCTCTGAAATGTCAACTCTTTCTTTCTCTATATCAGTGTCCCGCCTTTGAGTTCTTAAAGTGCCTCAGAAATGTCAACTCTTTCGTATTTCTCTTATATCAGTGTCCCGCCTTTTGAAGAAATGTCAACTCTTAAGGGCCCCAGAAATCTTAAGTCAACTTTTCGTCTTTCTCTAATATCAATATCCCGTCTTTGAGCCTCTTAAGTGCCTCAGAAATGTCAACTCTTTCGTCTTTCTCTAATATCAAGTGTCCCGTCTTTAGAAGCCCTTAAGTGCCTCAGAAATATCAACTATTTCGTCTTTCTCTACATCAGTGTCCCCTTTGAAATATCCCTTTCGCTTAAGTGCCTCTGAAATGTCAACTCTTTCGTCTTTCTCTTTATATCAGTGTCCCGCATTTGAAGCCCGCTTAAGTGCCTCTGAAATGTCAACACTTTCGTCTTTCTCTTATATCAGTGTCCCGTCTTTGAAGCCCTCTTAAGTGCCTTAGAAATGTCAACTCTTTCGTCTTTCTCTAATATCAGTGTCCCGTCTTTGAAGCCATCTTATGCCTCAGAAATATCAACTCTTTCGTCTTTCTCTTATATCAGTGTCCCGCCTTTGAAGCCCTCTTAAGTGCCTCTGAAATGTCAACTCTTTCGTCTTTCTCTTATATCAATGTCCCGTCGTTGAAGCACATCTTAAGATCCCTCAGAAATGTCAACTCTTTCTGTATTTCTCTTATATCAGTGTTTCGCCTTTGAAGCCCGCTTAAGTGCCTCAGAAATGTCAACTCTTTCGTTATATCAGTTTCTAATATCAGTGTCCCAGCCTTTCCCTTAAGTGCCTCATGTCAACTGTCTTTCTCTAATGTCAATGTCCCGTTTGAAGCCCTCTTAAGTGCCTCTGAAATGTCAACTTTTTCCTTTCGTGTCCCGCCTTTGAAGCCCCTTATATCAGAAATGTCAACTCTTTCGTATTTCTCTAATATCAAGTCCCGCTTTAAGCCCTCTTATGCCCTCAGAAATGTCAACTCTTTCGTATTTTTCTAATATCAGTGTCCCGTCTTTGAAGCCATCTCAAGTGCCTTCAGAAATATCAACTCTTTCGTCTTTCTCTAATATCAGTGTCCCGTGTCCTTTTGAAGCCCTCTTAAGTGCCTCAGAAATGTCAACTCTTTCGTATTTCTCTAATATCAGTGTCCCGTCTTTGAAGCCCTCTTAAGTGCCCTCAGAAATGTCAACTCTTTCGGCTTTCTCTAATATCAATGTCCCGTCTTTGAAGCCTCTTATGCCCAGAAATGTCAACTCTTTCGTCTTTCTCTAATATCAGTGTCCCGTCTTTGAAGCCATCTTAAGTGCCTCAAAATATCAACTTTTCGTCTTTCTCTAATATCAGTGTCCCACCTTTTGTTGCCCTCTTAAGTGCCTCTGAAATGTCAACTCTTTCGTCTTTCTCTTATATCAGTGTCCGTCTTTGAAGCCCTTAAGTGCCACAGAAATATCAACCTTTCGTCTTTTCTCTTATATCAGTCCCGTCTTTGAATGTCAAAAACTCTTTCGTCTTTCTCTAATATCAGTGTCGCGCCTTTGAAGCCCCCTTAATGCCTCAGAAATGTCAACTCTTTCGTCTTTCTCTAATATCAATGTCCCGTCGTTGAAGCATCTTTGTGCCTCAGAAATGTCAACTCTTTCGTATTTCTCTCTAATATCAGTGTCCCGCCTTTGAAGCCCCTTTCAGAAATGTCAACTCTTTCATTTTCTCTAATATCAGTTGTCCGTTTTTGAAGCCCTCCTCTATATCAGTGTCTTTCTCTATCAGTGTCCCGTGTCTTTTCGAAGCCCTCTTAAGTGCCTCAGAAATGTCAACTCTTTCGTCTTTCTCTAATATCAGTGTCCCGTCGTTGAAGCCCTCTTAATTGCCTCTGAAATGTCAACTCTTTCGTCTTTTCTTATATCATCAAGTGTCCTCGTCTTTTCGTATTTCTCAGCCGTCTTTGGAAGCCTCTTAAGTGCCTCAGAAATGTCAATCATCTTAAATTTTCGTCTTTCTCTTATTATCAGTGTCCCGTCTTTGAAGCCCTCTTAAGTGCCTCTGAAATGTCAACTCTTTCTTCTTTCTGTATCAGTGTCCCGTCTTTGAAGCCCTCTTAAGTGCCTCCAGAAATGTCAACTCTTTCGTCTTTCTCTAATATCACGTCCCGTCTTTGAAGCCACCTCAAGGGCCTCAGAAATGTCAACTCTTTCGTCTTTCTCTAAGTGTCCCGTCTTTGAAGCCCTCAGAAATGTCAACTCTTTCGTATTTCTCTAATATCAGTGTCCCGCCTTTGAAGCCCGCTTATGCCTCAGAAATGTCAACTCTTTCGTATTTCTCTAATATCAGTGTCCCGTCTTTGAAGACCTCTTAAGTGCCTCAAAAATATCAACTCTTTCGTCTTTCTCTTATATCAGTGTCCCGTCTTTGAAGCCCGCTTATGTACCTCAGAAATGTCAACTCTTTCGTATTTCTCTAATATGAGTGTCACGTCTTTGAAGCCATCTTAAGTGCTTCTGAAATATCAACTCTTTCGTCTCTCTCTAATATCAGTGTCCCGTCTTTGAAGCCCTCTTAAGTGCCTCAGAAATGTCAACTCTTTCGTATTTCTCTTATATCAGTGTCTCGTCTTTGAAGCCCTCTTAAGTGCCTCAGAAATGTCAACTCTTTCGTATTTCTCTAATATCAGTGTCCCGTCTTTGAAGCCCTCTTAAGTGCCTTAGAAATGTCAACTCTTTCGTATTTCTCTAATATCAGTGTCCCGTCCTTGAAGCCTCTTAATTACCTCTGAAATGTCAACTCTTTCGTCTTTCTCTAATATCAGTGTCCCGTCTTTGAAGCCATCTTAAATGTCAACTCTTTCGTCTTTCTGAAATGTCCCGTCTTTTAAGCCCCGCTTATGCCTCTAATGTCAGTGTCTTTCTCTAATATCAGTGTCTCTTTGAAGCCCTCTTAAGTGCCTCAGAAATATCAACTCTTTCGTCTTTCTCTAATATCAGTGTCCCCCCCTTTGTCCCTTTAAGTGAAAATGTCAACCCTCTTTCTCTTATATCAGTGTCCCGTTTTGAAGCCCTCTTATGCCTCTGAAATGTCAACTCTTTCTTCTTCCTCTTATATCAGTGTCCCGTCGTTGAAGCCCTCTTAAGTGCCTCAGAAATGTCAACGCTTTCGTCTTTCTCTAATATCAGTGTCCCGTCTTTGAAGCCATCTTAAGTGCCTCAGAAATATCAACTCTTTCGTCTTTCTCTTACATCAGTGTCCCGCCTTTGAAGCCCGCTTAAGTGACTCTGAAATGTCAACTCTTTCGTATTTCTCTTATATCAGTGTCCCGTCTTTGAAGCCCTCTTAAGTGCCTCAGAAATGTCAACACTTTCGTATTTCTCTTATATCAGTGTCCCGTCTTTGAAGCCCTCTTAAGTGCCTCAGAAATGTCAACTCTTTCGTATTTCTCTTATATCAGTGTCCCGTCTTTGAAGCCCTCTTAAGTGCCTCAGAAATCTCAAGCCTTTCGTCTTTCTCTTATATCAGTGTCCCGCCTTTTAAGCCCGCTGAAGTGCCTCTGAAATGTCAACTCTTTCGTCTTTCTCTTATATCAGTGTCCCGCCTTTGAAGCCCGCTCTAATGTGCCTCAGAAATAAACTCTTTCGCTCATCAGTGTCCCGCCTTTGAAAGGGCCTCATGTCAACTCTTTCGTCTTTCTCTAATATCAATGTCCCGTCTTTGGAGCCCTCTTAAGTGCCTCAGAAATGTCAACTCTTTCGTCTTTCTCTAATATCAGTGTCCCGTCTTTGAAGCCATCTTAAGTGCCTCAGAAATATCAACTATTTCGTCTTTCTCTTACATCAGTGTCCCCCTTTGAAGCCCTTAATGTCAACTCTTTCGTCTTTCTCTTATATCAGTGTCCCGCCTTTGAAGCCCGCTTATGCCTCAGAAATGTCAACTCTTTCGTCTTTCTCTAATATCAGTGTCCCGTCTTTGAAGCCCCTTAAGTGCCTCAGAAATGTCAACTCTTTCGTATTTGTCTAATATCAGTGTCCCGTCTTTGAAGCCATCTTAAGTGCCTCTGAAATATCATCTCTTTCGTCTTTCTCTTATATCAGTGTCCCGCCTTTGAAGCCCTCTTAAGTGCCTCTGAAATGTTAACTCTTTCGTCTTTCTCTTATATCAATGTCCTGTCGTTGAAGCCCTCTTAAGATCCTCAGAAATGTCAACTCTTTCGTATTTCTCTAATATCAGTGTCCCGCCTTTTGAAGCCCGCTTAAGTGCCTCAGAAATGTCAACTTTTCGTTTTCTATCAATGTCCTGCCTTTGAAGCTCCTCAGAAATGTCAACTCTTTTATCTTTCTCTAATGTCAATGTCCCGTCTTTGAAGCCCTCTTAAGTGCCTCCAAATGTCAACTCTTTATATTTCTCTAATATATCAGTGTCCCGCCTTTGAAGCCCGCTTATGTACCTCAGAAATGTCAACTTTTTTTCTAATATCATTGTCCCTTTTGAAGCCCCTTATGCCACAGAAATGTCAACTCTTTCGTATTTTTCTAATATCAGTGTCCCGTCTTTGAAGCCATCTCAAGTGCCTTAGAAATATCAACCCTTTCGTCTTTCTCTTATATCAGTGTCCCGCCTTTGAAGCCCGATTAAGTGCCTCTGAAATGTCAACTCTTTCGTATTTGTCTAAAATCAGTGTCCCGCCTTTGAAGCCCCCTTAAGGGCCTCAGAAATGTCAACTCTTTCGGCTTTCTCTAATGTCAATGTCCCATCTTTGAAGCCCTCTATGCCTCAGAAATGTCAACTCTTTCGTCTTTCTCTAATATCAGTGTCCTGTCTTTTGAAGCCATCTTACGTGCCTCAGAAATATCAACTCTTTCGTCTTTCTCTTACATCAGTGTCCCCCCTTTGTTGCCCGCTTAAGTGCCTCTGAAATGTCAACTCTTTCGTCTTTCTCTTATATCAGTGTCCCGTCTTTGAAGCCCTCTTAAGTGCCACAGAAATATCAACTCTTTCGTATTTCTCTAATATCAGTGTCCCGTCTTTGAAGCCATCTCAAGTGCCTCAGAAATATCATCTCTTTCGTCTTTCTCTTATATCAGTGTCCAGCCTTTGAAGCCCTCTTAAGTGCCTCTGAAATGTTAACTCTTTCGTCTTTCTCTTATATCAATGTCCTGTCGTTGAAGCCCTCTTAAGTGCCTCCCCAGAAATGTCAACTCTTTCGTATTTTTCTAATATCAGTGTCGCGCCTTTAAGTCAACTCTTCGTCTCTTATATCAATGTCCGTCGTTTGAAGCCCTCTTAAGTGCCTCCAGAAATGTCAACTCTTTCGTCTTTCTCTAATATCAGTGTCCTGTCTTTGAAGCCCTCTTAAGTGCCTCCTGAAATGTCAACTCTTTCGTATTTCTCTAATATCAGTGTCCCGTCTTTGAAGCCCTCTAAGTGCCTCAGAAATCTCAACTCTTTCGTCTTTCTCTTATATCAGTGTCCCGCCTTTTAAGCCAAATTGTCTGAAATGTCAACTCTTTCGTCTTTCTCTTATATCAGTGTCCCGCCTTTGAAGCCCGCTTTAGTGCCTCAGAAATGTCAACTCTTTCGTCTTTCTCTTATATCATATCCCGCCTTTGAAGCCCCCCCCCAGAAATGTCAACTTTTCGTCTTTCTCTAATGTCAATATCCCGTCTTTGGAGCCCTCTTAATGCCTCAGAAATGTCAACTCTTTCGTCTTTCTCTAATATCAGTGTCCCGTCTTTGAAGCCATCTTAGTCAGAAATCAATGTCTATTTGTCTTTTTCTTACACATCAACCCCCTTTGAAGCCCGCTTAAGTGCCTCTGAAATGTCAACTCTTTCGTCTTTCTCTTATATCAGTGTCCCGCATTTGAAGCCCGCTTATGCCTCTGAAATGTCAACACTTTCGTCTTTCTCTTATATCAGTGTCCCGTCTTTGAAGCCCTCTTAAGTGCTCATAGAAATGTCAACTCTTTCGTATTTGTCTAATATCAGTGTCCCGTCTTTGAAGCCCCCTCAAATTGCCTCAGAAATATCAACTCTTTCGTCTTTCTCTTATATCAGTGTCCCGCCTTTGAAGCCCGCTTAAGTGCCTCTGAAATGTCAACTCTTTCGTATTTCTCTAATATCAATGTCCCGTCGTTGAAGCCCTCTTAAGATCCTCAGAAATGTCAACTCTTTCGTATTTCTCTAATATCAGTGTCCCGCCTTTGAAGCCCTCTTAAGTTCAAAAATGCCTCTTCTGTAAATATCATGTCCTTTTGAACTCTTTCGTCTTTCTCTTTCTCTAATATCAGTGTCCTGTCTTTGAAGCCCTCTTAAATGCCTCTGAAATGTCAACTCTTTTATCTTTCTCTTATATCAGTGTCCCGTCTTTGAAGCCCTCTTATGTACCTCAGAAATGTCAACTCTTTTCGTATTTCTCTTATATCATTGTCGCTTTTCGAAGCCCCTTTAAGTGCCACAGAAATGTCAACTCTTTCGTATTTTTCTAATATCAGTGTCCCGTCTTTTGAAGCCATCTCAAGTGCCTTAGAAATATCAACTCTTTCGTCTTTCTCTTATATCATGTCCCGTTTGAAGCCCTCTTATTCTGAAATGTCAACTCTTTCGTATTTGTCTAAAATCAGTGTCCTGCCTTTGAAATGTCAAGGGCCTCAGAAATGTCGTCTTTCTTTCTCTAATGTTAGTGTCCCGTCTTTGAAGCCCTCTTAAGCAACCTTTCTCTAATATCAGTGTCCCGTCTTTGAAATCTTACGTGCCTCAGAAATATCAACTCTTTCGTCTTTCTCTTACATCAGTGTCCCCACCCTTTGTTGCCCGCTTTGCCTCTGAAATGTCAACTCTTTCGTCTTTCTCTTATCAGTGTCCCGTCTTTGAAGCCCTCTTAAGTGCCACAGAAATATCAACTCTTTCGTATTTCTCTAATATCAGTGTCCTCAAATGTCTTTTCGAATTTCTCATCTCAAGTGCCTCAGAAATATCATCTCTTTCTAATATCAGTCTTTCTCTTATATCAGTGTCCAGCCTTTGAAGTCCGCTTAAGTGCCTCTGAAATGTCAACTCTTTCGTCTTTCTCTTATATCAGTGTCCCGTCTTTGAAGCCCTCTTAAGTGCCTCAG